TCTCTGTGAGACCTCAGGAGGCTGCTGGGCTCCCGGGTGGAGACTGCAGGAACTCTGAGGACCAGCCACCCAGAGTGCAGCATGGGTAGGCGGGCGGCAGGGCTGCCACTGCCATTGCTGGTGGGGCAGTCTGGCCATGCCCCAGGAAGGTAAACTGGCCAGCACTCAGGGTACTAAGGTCCCTGAATCCTTTCTGCCAGTGCGTCTCCCTGCAGGACAGACGGACAGAGTTAGATAGCCTCTGGTGCCTGTGTCCTTGGCCATACCCAGGGCAGCTGGTGCCCAGCCAGAGACGAGAGGGTGGTGCCTCGATGCTGCGCAGGGCAATGCTCAGGCTGCAACCGGACAGCCCGCCCGGGTGCCCAGGCTCCTGGCACCTCAGGCGTGAGCTGTGCCTCCACTTTGATTTCCCTGCCCTGGCACTGTGGCCCACAGCACTGCCCCTGGGGTAACTGGTCGTTTCCACCCTGTTGTGATGGTGTTTCCTCTCCCTCAGCTGCCAAGTTTCCAGCCAACCCTGTTCCATCAAGTGATCGGAGCCTGCAAGCCCTGCAGCGACCCCAATCTGTCTGTGGCTGAAAAAGGTATTGTCTCCCTTTCCCAGTGCCCCTCCCCCCAGGGGCCCCCATCCTGAGCATCTGACTCTTGACCCTGAGCACCAGCTGGCGGAGGGTGAGCCACAGGCCAGCATCCAGGCCTGTCTGTCTGTCCAGAGTCCTCACCAATTCCTGTGCTCACTGTTCGACCAAGGCTGCTTGATGCTAAATTCAGATCCTGCCCCAGCCGGTTTGCCTCAGTGGGTAGAGCGTCAGCCTGCGGACCACAGGGTCCGGGTTCAATCCCGGTCAAAGGCACGTATCTTGGTTGCAGGTTCCTCGGGCCCTGGCTCTGGCCGGAGGCAACCAATCGATGTGTTTCTCTCACATCAATATTTCTCTCTGTCTTTCCCTCTCTCTCCCACTCTCCCTTAAAAAAAAAAATCAATGGAAAAATATCCTCAGGTGAGGATTAACAAAAAAAATAAAATAAAATAAAATTTGAGAATCAGAAACACTCTAAAAAATAAAAATAATAAACAAATAAAATTTGGATGCTGTTAGTCTGTATCTCTCCCTCCCCAGTGCCCAGCTCAGAGAGGCCCTCGCGGCCACCTGCCCGGGGCCCCCTCTATGGGAACTGCCCTGTGCAAGCACGGCCACCACCCCCCTGGCGCCTCCAGATCAGCCCAGAACCCAGCAGGCCCTGTGGCCCCTGTGGCCCCTCTCGGCACGGGCCCTCAGGGACCCCCCCTTGTTGCTCTGAACAGGCCTGCGGCCAATCAAGCCCAAGAGGAATAGGGAGGACAGGCCAAGGCAGAGTGGACTTCCCAGACAAGTCCTGGCAAGGGAGGCCCAGGTACCAGGAGGGAGTCCAGTCCCAGCAGCCACTCTGGCCACAGTGCTAAGTCCGTCTCACACGTGCCGCGCACCGGATGTGCATGCGGCCAGAAGTCCCGAGAGCAGAGCTGCTTAGCTAGGGGAGCGCTGCCCTGTGTTCTGCTCCAGCTGATGGAAGGATCAGGCTGGGACCCACATGACCCTGGCCCAAAGCCCCAGCCGTGGAGACCTGAGTTAGTTCTAACAGAGGGGTTGCTACTAAGCCTGCTAAGACTCTGGGGACTCCACTAAGCCTGCTCCCCACACACAACCTGGGCCCCATCAGCCCGTCTCCCTGTAGGTTCCCCTCCCCTCCTCACCGAGTGATGTGTGCTGTGCGTACTGTCATTGTTGCTCCCTAGCTCTCTAGAGGGGACATGCCTGTGTCCTCCAAGTACAACAAACACTGGCCCACGTGCTCGGTTGACTGCTGGGTGCTCCACCACAACGGCCATAAAAACTGCCTGCAGGTGCCTTCTAGCCTCAAGGGTGCACATCCCCAAACATGCAGTTACCTGGACCCTGCGCCCCATGTCAGAGCCTGTGTGGCCTCCACCAGAATCCTCAGTGGCTTTTCTTCATTTGAGATGTGGAGCTATCGCAGAGCTAGCCGAGAGCACAGACAGGCTCGGAGATCAAGCGTGTGCTGGCGGCCAGTCAAGGACCTGACACCAACTGGATCCAGGAGAACTTCAGGCCCTGGAGCAGGCTGTGCAAGAAGCTGGCCACACTGCGCAGGTGTGGAAAGGACGCAGGGTCTCAGAAAAGGGGCTAAGCCCAGAGCAAGCTTGTCCACGCACAAGGCCAGCAAGTGCCTCAAGGGAACAACAGACCAAATCTCACCTGGGTCTTCAGGGCAGAAGCCGCATAAACTTGTCCCACTCTCGCGTCACCAGGACCCTGAGTCCCATGAGGGCTCCGTGTCTCGCTGGCAGCTGTCTTTCTTTGCCAGGCACTGACTCCCGGACCAGGCAAGCTTGCCCTCGGGGCTGTGCGCTGTGCCTGGGGACTACAGGCCCGTGCTGGACCCCAGTTACAGAGAAAGAAGCGGCCGGGACACCGGGGGACTCCCATCTTGCAAGGGGCACTCCACCTTAGATGCTCCTCTAGCCCCAGTGCCCGCGTGCGGCCTGGCAGAGGTGCCCTGGCCTCCCTGCTCACCAGCACAGGCTGCGGGGCCAGCTTGATGGTCTCTGCTTCACGAGGAGGGGCCCAGGGCCCCCTAAACCACTGCAGCCTCGCTGCTTTCTCCCCATAGCCTTTCTGACTAAAGTGGGCCCTGTGGGTGAACTGCAACCCCATGATCCTCCCAGGACCTAGATGTGCCTGTGAGATCTTGGGCTTCAGGACCCCTTTGGAGAAGGTGCCCAGACCCACCTCCAAGCCACTTACTCCCTGAGATGCAGCAGCTTTTTGTGGAGACAAACCTTTCTTCTGGGGTAGAGAGCGCTTCGGCGCTGAGGATAGGAAGCTGGCGCTGCGTCTTGGGGAGAGCCTGTGAGCAGGGCCTGTGAGCAGCTCAGGCTCTCGGAGGCCTCCTGGTGGAATCCACCTGATGTGCAGCCGATTCCACATTTTTTCCTCCCCTCCCACAGCTGAGCGCCTGCCCTCCCGCCAGGCAACAGCCACCAACCACCCCGGGGCACTGAGCATCTTCCCTGGAACTGAGGCTATTTAGGTAGCAGAGTTCTGCCCTGTGTTTTGCCGCAAGCCCATGCCAGGTCCTGACCAATGAGGAGAAGAGGATGGGCATCACCACTTCTCCCTGGACCACATGTGGCACAGCCCCTCCTCCTGGCCAGGCCTCCTTGAAGGCTGGACTCCAGCTCCTTCCCTTCCAGAGCCTTTCAGGCCCCTTGGGCCCTGGCTTCCCCATCAGCACCTGGAGCAGGAAGGGCCCACACCTGGCCCCTCGGCTCGCTTTCCGCACGGCCGCCTCAGAGCACAGCCAGCGAGGAGGCCCTGGGCTGTGCACGCCCATCCTGCCGCTCGCCCAGCTCCGTCAGTGAGAGGCAGGTTTATTCTCTCATATTTGTTCCCAGGAGGAGTTGGCCAACAGGATTCCCATGTCTCCTGCAGTGGCCCTCGGGCCCCCAAGTCCAGCCATTCTTCCTCTGCCGTCCTCTCCGGGAAGTCACTCCCCCAGCTGGCCCTGACCCCTTTCTTAGGTGGACACTGTAGGTTTCCCTCTGTCCCAGGCCCACTCCACCTGCATCTGTGGCATGTGGGTGCAGAACTGGGCTGCTCTGCATGCCCCAAAGCACCATGGGCACGCCTGGGCGTGACACGGGCTTTATACTCTCCCTCCCTGGGGACAGTGAACGCTGGTCCTTGCCTAGAAAACACCTCGCGCAGCCCAAACCCCATGGGAGCACAGAAGCCATGGGAAGGGCAGAGCTTGTATGTTACCACAGGCCTCTGTGAGGCCCCCGCCCATCCTGCTCCCTGCTTTCCCAGGACTCCTGACTGAGCAGCTCTGGCCCCGTCTCCCCTCCTCGGCCTCTTCTCGCCTCTTCTGCTCTCTTCTCCTCCTGGCGAACCGCAAGCTACAGGCGCTCGCTGCGTGGCACCTGCTCTCAGCTGCCTCATCCTGATGCTCCTCACTCTTCAGGTCGCTCTGTTGCCATCTTTGCGGTTCCTGTTCCTGGCCACTCCCACCTAAGGGCCAGTGTCTTGCTTGGCCAGCGTTTTTGCCCCAGGGGCTGGCATGCCCCTCCCACCTGTACTGGGTACACAGTGCAGGGTGGGCTTCTCCCACGGAGCGGCTCAAGAAGTAACTTCCCTTCATGCCATGTGTTTCCACCTTCAGCGGTGCCCGCAGCCCCCAGCAGCTGGAGCCTGGATAGCGGAGCCCGAGAGGCCCAGCCCTTCCTGTCTGCCCACATGGGGCGCATCCTCGTGCCCCCAGTGCCTCCCCGAAGCCTGCTGCATGGTAAGAAGAGCTCCAGCGGGTCCCCAGATAGTCCCTGGTCGCCAGCTCTGCTCAGGGGCAAAGGCAGCAGCCTCCCAGGCTGAGAAGACGGGCCATGCTCTGGGCTGACCCAGCCGAGGAAGAACCAGCCCCGCCCCAGGAAGGGCCTGCTGGGCCTGGGGCCGGTGAGGCTTCCAGCCCGGCCGGCCGAAGACCAGGACTGCGACCGTCATCACCCAGCAGTGGGCGGGCCTGCGCTGCCTGCGGCTGTTCCACGCTCACACACCGGCCTTCTTGACCTCCCGTGTAGCACGCGTCTTTCACTCCAGCAGCCTGTGTTTTGGAGAACTTCAATGAGAGATTTTTCTGTGGCCTTCAATGCTGAGGGGTTCCCATGATACTCTTCCCTCGTCTGCCCAGTTGGCCCAGTAAGATGTGCTGGTGTGCAGCCCAGAGAGGCCCCAGCTAAGGCTGTGGTTCTGTTCCCTTTGCAGGTCATTACTCCCTACACTTTGACACCTTCCACCACCCACTGGGTGACACCCCCCCGGCCCTCCCTGCCCGGACCCTGCGCAAGGTAATGTACTGAAGGCACAGCCCACCCGGCTGTAGGTGTCAGTTCATCTGCTCTACCCCCTGGGTCTCCCAAGCTCCCGGCTCTCCCTACCCGTCCTGGAGAGCCCAGCCTGGCGGAGCCGCAGGGACCAGAGCCACACTCGGGATGCAGGTGACCACCAGTGTGTCCGCAGCCACTGTGAGGGGGTAGAGGGTTAGAGGGCCTTGTGGGCAACTCTGCTACCACCACCAGGTGTCGGCGAACCGTTCAAGAGGTAAAGAAACAGCCTGTGATGGACAGCAGAGCATTTTAAACCAGAGGCCAGTCAAAGCAAGACGCACCAGGCACCAAAGCTGTATTAAAACTCACTAATTTTTCTGCAAATTGGAAAAGACTATCACAGATTTTAGCAGCAGAATGCACTCATCTGGTCCATGGCCAACTAGGTTTCTTTCTGCCTGCCCAGCCGGCCTGGCCTAGCCCTTCGCAAGTGCCCAAGAGCCACAGCCAGCAGCCCAGCACCTGGCTTTGGGGGCACAAATGCCCAGCAGCCAGGGCAGAGCTGTGTTTTGGCCACAGAAATGCAGGTGATTCTGGGGCTCCCCGGGGCTCTGGGGCCGGAGGGAGCAGGGGCTGCTGCTGGAGGTCCTGTTGAAGTTCATTACAAGCAGACTTGGTCTTCTCCACGCTGTGGCTGTCGGCCTGTCTGGAGAGAGGAATTCTAACATGTCCACCCTTTCTTTTGCAGTCTCCTCTCCACCCTATCCCAGCCTCCCCCACCAGCCCACAGTCGGGCCTGGACGGCAGCAACTCTACACTGTCCGGCAGCGCCAGCAGTGGCGTGTCCTCCTTGAGCGAGAGTAACTTTGGGCACCCCTCAGAGGCTCCGCCTCGAACCGACACCATGGACTCCATGCCCAGCCAGGCCTGGCATGCCGATGAAGACCTTGATCCGCCCTACCTCCCTGTTCACTACAGCCTCTCTGAGTCGGCCGTCCTGGACTCCATCAAGGCCCAGCCATGCCGAAGCCACTCAGCCCCGGGGTGTGTCCTCCCTCAGGACCCCATGGACCCGCCTGCGCTGCCTCCCAAACCCTACCACCCCCGCCTGCCGGCCCTGGAGCATGACGAAGGTGTGCTGCTGCGCGAAGAGGCCGATAGGCCTCGGGGCCTGCACCGCAAGGCCTCACTGCCTCCTGGGAGCATCAAGGAAGAGCAGGCCCGCCTGGCCTGGGAGCATGGCCGCGGGGAGCAGTGAGCAGTGAGGCAGGCAGGTGGCTGGGACGCTGCCCTCAGAGCAGCTCGCCCGACCATTCCAGGTCTGAAAAGCCAGTCCCCCCCAAGGAGCAGAGAGGCCTGGCACTCAGGAGAGAACCACCAAGTCGACGTTCTACTGCCGTGAACTTGTGTGTTGCCATGTGCAGAGGCCACAGCAGCATGAGGGTTGTGGCTTCTCTTTTTATTTCATTTCTACTTTTCCATTTCTCTGGGTTTCCCTTTCATCTGTGCGCAGTAGATGCTTTCTTCCTCCTGCAGTTCCAGGCCACGGGGGGCTCCGTGGAGGTATTGCACAGACAGAATCGCTTCGCAGCTTCGCGGGGCCTTGGGTAGGAGCCCAGGCCCCCTCCAGGGTAGAGATGCACAGAAGAACGGAAATTGCACTAGGACCTCTTCTTTTGCTGTGTGGACAGAAGAGCTCATGGTTGTATTCAGGGATTGCGCGGACCATGTGGACTACATGTCACAGGTGGTGAACAAGTGGCTACAAGCCGTTTTGCACAAATGCCTGCCCACCTGCCCACTCTTGTCCAGGAATACTCAACTGAGGGGCTGGTTGGGCCACCCCGCCAGCCCAGGCACGTGACCTGGCCTGACTGCATGCCCAGGGCACACTGCCAGGCTTCCACCGGCCAGTCCTGCCTCCAGCTGTCTTGGATAGTCCCCTCCATCGCTTTTATTTCTGACCACTTGCTCCCTTCCACTCTCAATACACCTCATGCCCTGCAGGAGCCCCCTTGGCGAATGGATCTGCAAAGGTTAGCTCCGCCCTCCGGGGCCTGAGTGGGGGTGTGGAACCAAAGGGACTGGCCACCTTCCTCCCCAAGGCCCCGGGGGCCACGTGTTGAGAGAGGAGCTGGTGTAGGAGTGAGGCCGAGGTAAGGGGCCGGAAATCCTGAGCTTCCCCAGGTGGCCAGACCGCCTGACAGGCAGCTCCTGAGTCAGGGATTTTCAGCACTACCTCTGAGCAGGGGGCTGGCTGCCCCACCAGGCTGCCCAGCCCTGAGGACTCTCGGTCAGGTCAGCGAGCTCCTGGGGGAGCAGGGAGAGGAGGGGCGTCTCCTTTTGGAGTCCGAGAGCCACGTAAGTTGAATTATCCTCTTCCAAGTGCCAAGTGCAGGGCCCTGCTCCGGGCGGTGGGGACCACCACTCAGGGTTCAGGGCGGGCAGGAGGCAGTGTCTCCAGCCTCCCGTCTGCTGGACAGAACGCAGTGGGATCCATGGGACTCTCGGGTCAGAGCACCGGTTTTCCTCTTGTTTTATTATGGGGGGGGACAGAAGGGGGAGTAACGGTCTTCTACCAGGGTGCTTCTAAGTTACTTCAGTCTACACAGACTTTCTTTTGCTCGAGTTCACAACTCTGATGGTCACAGGCTGCCTTCTCCTCGGCGAGCAGGTGTCTGCCTGTCACTCTTCTGCTGGCCTGTCTGACCTCCGGCTGGGCCTGGGCCCATGACCCTGTCATTGCCCCTCTTTCCGAACAGACAGGCCATGGTCAGGGTGTTT